CACAAGACAAGTAGGTTAGTATCCAATATAACAAAAAAGACAATTTTTTAATTTCTTATTACACAATATAAACAAGAATTTAATATGCGCTTAATACTGCTTGCCCTTTGTGCCATTGTTTAATTAGTAATAATTAAATCAGCATGACCCATCAAACCCTAGATTTAGCTGTGGTCACCAGAATAAATCTTCCACAATCCAACAAGGATCCGCTCAGGTGAAATGCGTCATGCTTTAATAGTGAATGTGAAGGTAATACTTTTGTTTTTTTTAGTGGGCACTACACAAAAACTGAGACACAAAAAGGCCAATCACAAATAATCACAAATCTTAATAAATATATATAACAAAGTCACATGCATGCCAGGGGAAACACAACATTACAATTTGTACATACATTTCATAAAAATAATTTTGTAAATAACTGCATCGTACCTTTATCCACTTTTAGGTCAGCATGCAGGAAAACAAAACAACATCAAAGTTCATTTCATAATGAACGGTGGCTGTAGAATAACAACAAAAAGTGTCACAGGTTAAAAATGCATTTTTAGGGGCAAAACAAGACATGTTTTTGTATTTAGAAATAACTAGACAGTTGAAGGCGATGGATTTTTAAATTTTGTTTAAATCTTGATGTTGTCTTAAAAAAAATGCAGCTCTCATGGCGCGAGACACCAAAAACACACCAAAATACAAAGCAATAACTGCCGAGACAAAATGCAAGAACACAACCTGTGTGAACGGTCCTTTATCTTGTAAAAACGTATTAAGAAGCACCAGACACTGGATGAGATGTTTCTGCTTGCCATGACTGTGCTTACCTAGGTCTTCTAGCTCTGAGGTCATAGATTTTGAACGCATGGACAAGGCTGTGGAGGGAGCCCTCCGTGGTGGCAGGGGCGCTATAGCAACAAACCAAAAAAAACACACAGCAGGTACAGTAGATGCTTAGCCATAGGCTGTAGCATCCCCATGGGGAGGCATTGTATACAACATTAACTCATGCCGAGGTTTGCCGATTCTCATTTTAAATAATAAATGAGAGAGAAGAGCTTAAAAACACAAAATTAGTAGTGTTAGTAAAATAAAAAACTACTACTATTAGCATTATTGAAAAGCAATGGTTAGAATTACATGAAAGGAGTTTTGTTTGCTTCATTTTCAATCATATGATTAACATGTTCCTTCATAGCCCAGGTAGTCAAGAAATACTGAATAAATCAAGACATTTACCTTTCTTTCGAGCCGTGTCATCAGGGTCTAGATTTCGACTGACTGTCACCACTTTGATAATTAAGTGGTTGCCGCCGTGACGAATCATGTTGACCACTTGTTTGTGGCCCACTTTGACGACATTGTCCTGGTTCACCTATAAAAAAAGAGGAACAATTTAGCTTGTTTCAGGCATGCTCAGATGTTCACAAAGCAATAATAGTCAATAATAATAGTCAAATGCACTTGTCACAAAATGGCACTGATGTGCATAATTAATTTCCTGCTTTTTGCAGTTTAAAAACACAGTCTGACTGTCACCACTTTGATAATTAAGTGGTTGCCGCCGTGACGAATCATGTTGACCACTTGTTTGTGGCCCACTTTGACGACATTGTCCTGGTTCACCTATAAAAAAAGAGGAACAATTTAGCTTGTTTCAGGCATGCTCAGATGTTCACAAAGCAATAATTAGTCAAATGCACTTGTCACAAAATGGCACTGATGTGCATAATTAATTTCCTGCTTTTTGCTGTTTAAAAACACAGTGAAATGGTTTGACGTACATTTTTTTGTGTTGATATGGCTGGACATATCATTTGCTCATTAAAAAAGCCTTCTGTTTAAGTCACACAGCCAAACCACAGCTATGTTCAGAATTGTCAGCTCAATGCATGCTGCATATTTACTGCAAAGTATATATTTTATGATGTCAAATATATACAAATTAAATGAATCAAAAGTGACAGTAAAGCCCTTTACTCTTTTACAAATTCTATTTCAAATAAATGTTCTTTTGAAATTTCTATTTGTTTCACTTTTTTTTTTACAGAAATATTAAGCAGAACAACTCTTTTCAACATTGATAATAATAATAAATGTTTCCTGAGTAACAAATCAGAATATTAGAATGATTTATGAAGGATCATGTGACACTGAATGGCTGCTGAAAATTCTGCTTTGCCATCACATAAATACATTACATTTTAAAATGCATTAAAATAAAATACAAAACAAAACATTTCACAGTATTGCTGTTTTTACTGTGTTTCTGATCAAATAAATGCGGCCTTAGTGAGCATAAGAGACAGTGAAAGATTAGTTACTTTTATTGATATTAAGGGAAAGGATACATTCTTATTCTAGAAAGCATTTTTTGGTACAAAAAATTCCATATGTCCCTTAGCAAAAAGTTGTCATCAATATTGTCATTTTTTTAACCAGAAGAAAAGAGCTATACTGTTTAAATGCATATTTAAGTTGATTTCATCAACCTTTAGAAGTACCTTAGCATAAATATGGCCTCAGAGCTACTAACTAAAAGCCCACAAAACTACAATTTTGATTTCATAGGGCTTTAACTTCTGTATACTACATCATAGTGGAGTAAATTGATTTTGAGCATTTAGCTACACAAGAGGTTATGTAATGGTCCCTGGCAATACCACAAGCATCAACACCAAGTTACACTAACCCCACTATGTTTGTTGAAGCCCAGCTATCACTACCTCATTCATTTCCCAACTTAAACTAACACGAAATCATTATTTTATCCACAGTATGTTTTTAAATAACCTTTTACCTTATACATTTTCTTCATATACACTTAAACAGTCACAATCCTAGTGAGAGCTGTCATTGTAAAGGCATCAGAGGGCAGTAAATCAAAATGGGGTTTAAATGTTTAAGCGGGACATTCAATCTGCCACTGAGCCATTACTGGTGAGCTAAATCGAATTCAGCTACAGCAGAAACGATTTGCAAGTGGTGATAACCATTGATATATGTGCAACATTCATCACCAGATATTTTTTCATCATCTCTTTTCAACAAAGGTGTAATTCCAATGACTCCAACCAGACTTAAAACTTACTCTGAGGGAGAAACAATCTGCATTTCTTACTTGCTGCATGAAAGTGGAAAACAAACTCCCACAACTATTTGAATAGGTTTTAAAAATTATTTTTGACACGAGTTACCAGCTCACAACTTCAGACCACAGAATGTTTGGAAACAATACTGTATTTTTTAAAGTGCCCCTATTATGGATTTTTGAAAATTACCTTTCATGCAGTGTGTAACACAGCTCTAAGTGAATGAAAATATCCTGCAAAGTTTTAAATCTGAAAGTGCGCCGTGTATAAAGTTATTGTCTCTCAAAAAAAAAGAGTCGACTCTAAATCATTGAAACGAGTCTTTTTAAAACGAATCCCAAGCCATTTCATATTGACGTCAACATGAAACATTAGCAGATTGCCCGCGCACTTTTTGGTCTTTTCTCGTTGGTCTGAATGGAGCTGCTGAACTGCTTTTGGAGCAGTAAAAATAGCGGGTACACAAAGCAGCACTGCGCTCACAAACATGCTTTATCAGGCATTACAGGCATGATGAAATTAAAATGAGACCAATTGGACCAATCACCGCAGATTAGTGTCACGCAAAGGAGGGGTATGGAAAAATTAATCTTCTGGGAGTCGTTGAGCAAGTAAGATAAAAATAAATAAATGCATATTATAAGACAATGAAAGTGTTTTTTGACCTTGCATGCATGTCAACCTGTTGTTGGGGACTCCCAAAACCAAAATATGAACTAGTGCTGTCAAACGATTAATCGCACCCAAAATAAGTTTTTGTTCACATAATATATGTGTGTGTACTGTGTAGTTATTATGTATATATAAATGCAAACACATGCATGTATTATGTATTTTTCAAAATATATACTGTATGTGTGTGCTTTTATGTATAAATAATAAATATACACAGTACACAAACATATATACAGTCAAATAAAACTTTTATTATGGATGCGATTAATTGCAATTAATTGTTTGACAGCACTAATATGAACCTTTCATTACCCATAATATGAGCACTTTTAATTGTCAGAAGAAAACTGAGCAGCGCTTGCTCGTGCAAGACTGTGCACGACTTGTGAGTGGATGCAAAGTCATTGCTATGGTGTTCAGAATGGTTGCTAGGGTGTTCTGGGTGGTTGCTAGGTGGTAGATTACTGACCCGAGTCAAAAATTCAGCTGTATGCGTAGAAAAGTAGTATTACACCTAACAATAACATGCCACACGATTTGACATAATCACAATTGTCATTCCCTATCAAACCCATCCTAAATTATAAGAAACAGTAATAGTGATAGCTGCCTTAGCAAGCAGCGCTAATGACTATGATAAGATGTTGATATTCTCACGATACAAATCGTCAAATAAAAGGCACTGCAGGCAAATTAGAGACACCCCTGCTCCTGTGGCATTTCTCAAGCAAAACGATAAACACAGGCACTACGAAACAGATCAGCAGAGAGAAAATGAGAGAGACAGGTTTGGAGAGATTTTAGATTATGCCTTTTACCGAAGAAAAGGTTACGTGAATAAGCTTGGGTAACCTAGGAAACAGCCGAGGAGCCGAAGTCGTCTTCATGACGAAGAGAGCTGAGCTGCTCCTTTTATTCCTTCGTGTATGTTTGTGTGATTCATAAATGCTGTGAGTGTGATGAGAGCAAGGGACTACGTATGTGATTGTATGAGAGAGATTGCCATTCGTTCCAATTAAATAAAATTAGCTGAAGTTAGAAAAGCAAGCCGAAATCAATGTGGGACCAGGAGTGAAAGCCCCACTTGGAAAGCCAGGTCAGTTAAAAAAAGTAACAGCCTTTAACGTCAATCACCGTTACCTTTTCTACATCTCTCGCTATTGTGGATTTTCATACTGCACATTCCAGAAGACAAAATAACTCTGCATTACATCTTCGAGCTTGACCTTATGACAGATGATGTAAATTTAGAGAGATTGAGAAGGAGAGAAAGAGAGAAAGCTCTGTGAATCATGAGCTGTAATCGCAACTCATGGCAGTGCAGATTTTTGCAGTGCTCTAGTTTTTGGTGAGTGCTGGAGGAAGGGGGTGGGCACAAATTTCCCAGCATTCTCACTGACCTCCAGTCTCTCGGCATGTCACACACTGGTAATGAGATTTGGGCTCATTTAGGAAGTGCTGGGACCAGATGTAGATAAAGCTCACAAAACAGCACAATCTCAGCATGGCCACTTCATCTTGATAATCTCATTATGCTGGAACCGAGCCAAATCCAACCAAGCTGAGCCGTCAGCACAGGAACCTGATTTTGTGTTGTTTTAGATATCAGGACATGGAATAATCAGTCATTCATTATTCACCCTCATGTTGTTCCAAAAATATATGCTCATTTTTCCTTAAGATACAAAAGCATAATTTTGAAGAAACATCTTACAGGTTTGTTAGCAGTGACCTGACCACAGACTAACCAAAGGGAGCCTATGGTGTCATCTCTGACTACTCGGACTACTTTAATGATACTTTTATAGTGTTTTTTGTCCTTGACAGCCTGTGGTCACTATGAGTTATCATTGCAGTTATACAGGTTGAGAGCAACATAAAGGTGAATAAATAATACAAATTCTGTTATCATTTATTCACCCTCATGTACACTCTTAAAATAAAGGTTCCAAAAGGTTCGCAGGAATGCCATAGAAGATCCATTTTAGGTTCCTCAAATAACCTTTTGATGAAAAGAACAACTTTTTCAAAATGAAATACATTTTAATAAACTACAGAATGTTTTTCACTACAATGAATCTTTTGTGGTTTTAGAAAGGTTCTATGAATGTTAAATGTTTTCAGTGACCATAGATGCCAATCAAGTACTTTTATTTTTTTGTAAAGATTCAAACCTGACTTTTTTCTGTGGAAAATAAAAGTAGACATTTTGAAAATGGTTCATCTGAGCAGGTGAAGAACGCTGAGCTACCTTAAAAAAAACAAAGCAAAAAATGTAGTATTTTTTATTTGAGATGCATATACTGTATAATGATGTTTTTAAAACATATTATTAAACTGACAAATCAGAGTGGATTTACAAACAGAGTAACACAATTTGTACAAAAACATTTAACATAAAAAAATTAATAAAGGAGTAATGAATCATTATCAGCTGTAACCTTTAAGATCAATTTGGTTAAGTATCATAAGCATGCTTATGGATAACACAACAGGTGGAGTGAGATAAATATACATAAAACTGGAAAATTAGTAACAGATGGATAAACACTTTGAAATGTCCAAATTGCTGAAGGAACTGAGTGAACTCATTGTCACCATATATATT